AATTCTAGGGCTCCCTCCACGAGACGCTGTATGCCCTGTAAGTGAACACAATCTGCTGGTTTCATGCAGGGACGAGACGGCTTAGGCCTTTCCGCCCAGCACAGATTCCTTTTTGGGACGTATTTTTCGGTTGGAAGGCCTGGCAGGCCATCCATTTGAGCCATTTAAGTCTGTCAGATAACTTTGAAACCTGCAGGCTCTGTCAGCTCCTCTTGTATGGACTTTGCCCCGAGGCTGGTTAAGTCTTACTGCTTCCTAGGCCTAGTTAATCCTAAGACTGCTTCGACTCCGTTTCGCTTTCAGCAAGTGGTTGGAGGCTTTCTCCCCTGCTATGAGGGGTCAAATAGTGACTATACCTCTAGCCTATGAGGCGCGTGGTGTGACTTCGCCTCTAGAGGTGCGTGCTCATTCTACGAGAGCAATGGCTTCTTCTCAGGCTCTCTTTAAAGGGCCTTTGATGGGAGATGTCTGTGCTGTGGTAGGTTAGTCCTCTTCAAGCACTTTCTGCTTGTCTGGACGTGAGGATGGCTCTTGGCTCCCGGGTCTCTTCCGCTTGAGCAGACTCTTTCCTCGGTCTTCCAGCTATCTTAGGTACGTCAGGCGAGATGGTATAGCGTTCCCATAGCGATGACGTCATCGCAGCATTGAAGTGAACCTATGAGAGGGATCATCTCTGTTACGTATGTAACCTTGGTTCCCTGAATAGGGAACGAGATGCTGCGATGCTGGCCATTCCGTACCTTCGATAGCACTTCCTTCGTCATAGTGTAACATCTGATGAAATATATGAGCATATGTGACGTATGCTCGGGGCGGTGCTAAGCGCTATTGGCCAATAAATTGGCGTGATGGTATAAGGGCTTCAGACATTCGTCACATGACGTGGGTGTTCCCATAGCGATGACGTCATCGCAGCATCTTGTTCCCTATTCAGGGAACCAAGGTTACATACATAACTGAGATGTTCGTCTCTGGTCTCAGGTTTCTGTAGTGGATAAAGTAATTTGTCCAACACTACTACTTTAACACTTGTCATATGAAAAATATATAATTATTTTGTCATTACCTTGAACTGTCAATTCAGTTGTCATTAATAGGAGCTGACCGAAATGGCCCATCTTCTCTGTTTATTATACTCCATGTTTAATATCAGTATTTATTATACTTTTATTCATGGTAGTGTATTTTTTTTTATCTAACAGTACAATTTTTACAGTTCTGTAGAAAATGGAAGAGGCAGGAGTTTTTCCCATGTAAAACCTACAGTAAACACTTCTGAACATAATTCCTTGACCGACTACGACTACAAACTTTAATTTTTTTTTCACTTCTATAGCCTATTTTGTCCCATGTCTCAAGAATAAGTTGAGTAATGATGCAAACAGAAGTCAGAGCTGAACTCACATGTGGTGTCTTCAAAATGTCCTCCTAGATGAAGAAAAAAAAAACATCTCTGAAAGCTGCTCCAAACGCCTCCACGCACTGCAGGTTTGTGTGAGGTAATTGACACTCCTCATTACAAATCTGTCCTGTACTTTGTCATGCCACCTACAGTGAGATTCACTTTTGCTCCCGTTATGAAATGTTCAAGGCATCAATTTCAGTCACATTAAAGTTCAGTTTCTGCTTAGACAAGTGTGACAGTACGTTGATGATGCTTTTTGTGTGTGGCTCCACCCACATTCATGGTTGTGGTAAACCTCACAGTGAAAACTTGAACACAGTGATAGAAGTAGGATGTCACATACAGCAGAAAGATTATAGCTAAATACGTGTTACTTTCATATGTAACAGTACCATGCAGCTCAGTTCCATTTTAGTCAAGCCAGCGGTTGCATGCCAAAAACTAAACCACTTTTCTTTTTATAAGAGCATGTTCTGCTAATAATTGAGCTCAAGGGAAGAGCGTTAACCATTGTTCCTCACTGAATTTCCTCTTACAATAAAATTAAGGTCAAGCCATCTCTAAAAACATTTATTAAGATTAAAAGGTTTAAATAAATGCTTGAGAACGTTAACATTTCAGTGCTGTCTATAATCTGGTATTAACGATCACAAAGGTTGTTTTAACCATAAATATAGCATGCTAACAAGCTATTTATTTTGTGAGAAATGCTATAAAATGGTTTTAAAATAAAATATGGACCTCACATATAAACTGAGGTTAATAGGTGGCCTGTGTGTGTTGTGTAGTCATATACACAGTAGGGGAACATAGCTGTTACTTACTATAGGTATATTTTAGTATGGCTGGAATGGCTAATAACTATCGTTTTTTATAACTATTTTAATGCCTTTTGACAAAAAATTACACCACATGCATACATACAGTACAAAACTTCAAAGGTTTCATCTTTCATTCTTGTTTCCTCACATAAGGTTGCATTGGGCTCAATCTGATATCATATTTTGTAATGTTGTAAAACACTGTTAGGCCAACTTCCTCTTACACAACTGAGCCATAGGCTTAGATATCCATTCCAAACCAAAGATAAGCAACAGAGAATTAATTAACATCAAAAATTTATTATAACAGTTAATATAATGCAGAGATCATTAATAATTCATTAAAATAAACATTCATTAATCCTTTTAAAAATATAACATTAAACTAAAATCTACAAATGATTGCACAAAGGAAATAATCTTATTGACAAGTTTAGACAGAAGATCGTAAACCATCATTAGTATTATGGTTAATCTCATGAAACCTGGTAAGAATTAAGCAGACTTATCTTGTAAATTCTCATTATCATAATGCAAAAAAACAAATGCAATTATCATTACTGTAGTGCAAGAAAAGTGCATATACAGAATGGTAGCATCTGTTGAACATCCTTTTGTATGTTTCTGTAAATTAATTGAACGTAATTTAAAGAAAATCACAATTATGAGAATTACAAAAAGATCTAAAAAGAAAAACTTGCAGGTGCATTACAGTAATGAGAATTTGGGTTTCAAACTCTTTTGTTTTATGCAGGATAAAATGAGACCTTATGTGATAAAGCATAAAGTGTAAGTGTGATGCTTATCAGCTTTTTATAGTATTGATTTTCATAATTGTGTTTCACAAACTGTTTTTAATCAAAGCCGTCTCCTGGCCCATGCATAACACCATGCTTCTGCGAGAGTGTTTGCTGTCTGTCTGTCTCGCTGTTCCTGTCTGAGCTCTGTGAGGTTTCTGCACTATTTCTATAATATCTGTATTGCTATTATAGGCAGATGAGAGACACAGAAGCTCAGAGAAACAGAAAGATGTGATCGACTGTAGACTCAAGAAGGACAGACTTGGCTTTGAGAAGTGGAGTTCAATTCTGTAGATCTATTAGGGCTGCCATGTAAACCCTCTTCATGCTCTGATTGGTTATTCTGTCTTGTCAGTCTTTCCAGCCTCCGCCCCAGTGCTTTTGGAGTTCTGATTGGCTTCCTTGTCTTTCTTTTTGACATCTCTGCTGTCAATTAAAGCATGTTCACGCTTCACCATCTGTTCCAGCTCTTCCTGAAACAAGAGTGGTGACATCTCATGCAATAAACATAGTTTAAGAAAGAAACTAAATATTACTGATTTAAATAACATGTCAGATCTGTGTGTGAATATGCCTGTGTTTACTTTCCAGCCCAGCAGTTCGGCGAGAGCCATGCAGCCGTCATCACAGGTGCTCAGGTGAGCCACATCTCTGTGAACGATCAATAAAAATCAATACATTCTTTTCAAACCCCATTAACACCTGTACGCTTATTCACACCAACTGCCATTTTAAAAGTTTAGGCCAATCACAACGCACTGGATAGCTGGCCAATCAGAGCACACCTCGCTTTTCAGACCGATGAGCTTTGTAAAAATCGACACGTTGCAGAAAGGCGGGGGAATAGAGGAGAAACAATAATGTACAGTATGTGGAAAATAATGTGTTTTTTTAAATCTTAAACCTCATAAACACACTTCATTACACCAAATACACAAAATAATGTTCTTTTTAGCAACATCATATGATCCCTTTAAGACATTCTTATGTTTTAGAAAGAAATTGATCATTTGATTCACCTACGATGCATTAAATTGATTGAATATTACTTTAATAATAGGGCTTTTCACACTGCACTTAACCACAGGTTATCATGATGATCATAAACCCTGCTTTTAACCTCAGGTAGAGGAATGTTTTACAATTCTAATTTAGAAGCGGGGTTAGCACTGCTTTTTACCTGGGTTTATGAAACCCTGCTCTGGAGGGACTTGTACAAGTGTGAAAGATGCTGTCTCAGAATGCTACGGCTAGATGCCTAAAAATAAACACCCAACAATGTGCCTCATATTCATGTACTTTGGAAACTCACAGAAACAGTCACGTGTGTTGTATAATTTTCAGATAAAAATAATCATAGAAATTAAAACTTTTATTCAGCAAGGATGTGTTAAATTGTTAAGGTGATAACCAATATTTATATTGTTAGAAAAGATTTATATTTTGAATAAATGCTGTTCTTTTTAACTTTTTATTCATCAAAGAATCCTGAAAAAAGTATTGCAGTTTCCCAAAAAATATTTGGCAGCACAACTGTTGCCAACATTGATAATTCTAATAATAAATCAGCATATTAGAATGATTTCTGAAGGATCATGTGACACTTTAGACTGGAGTAATGGCTGATGGAAATTCAGCTTTGCATCACAGAAATAAATTATATTTTAAAGGATATTCAAATAGAAACCATTATTTTATATTGTAATAACGTTTTGCAAGATTACTGTTTTTTTCTGTATTTTTGATCAAATAAATGCAGCCTTGATGAGCATAAGAGACTTCTTTAAAAAACATAAGTCTTACTGATCCCAAACTTTTGAACGGCAGTGCAGTTCAAAGAGTAAAAAATATCCAGATCTTTTACCTTAAAAAATCTTACCTTATTTACATCGATTGCACAGCATTTCCTCCAGAATCAGCACAGAAAATGTGAAATAATCTAAAAATGTAGCGGGGCCTTACCTAGTGAGAATCTTACCTACTGACTAGTGATGCAAAAGGTTGCACCTGCAGGGATGTGCCCATTATGATGAGAAGGTCACATCGAGGAAAGTCCTGCGGTAAACAGTAGAATAGTATAGTAGATTGTATCAGTCAAACTGAGAATGTGGACTGACTGGAAAGGAACTTTGACCTTAACAGATCCTGAATCCTCACCATTTTCATGGAAGTGAAGAATCGGGCAGGCAGATTCTCCCCAAAAAACACAATATCTAAAATAGGAGAGGAAATACATCCACAAAGAGGCTAAAATCATCACAACAGAAGTAGAGGGTAGTCACCAATGAAAGCAATTGAATGACAGAATAAATTTGGGATTGTTTCTCACACTCAGCTTATATCATTTCAGAAGACCAGGAATTATATAGCCTGTATGGACTATTCCGTCTGTCTCTCCACCTGCATTTTTAACAAGCGCACACACATAGACACAGCAGGTCAAATGGAAATGAGAAGTAACCAGGATAGATGTTAAACCCTGCTTCAGCATTTAAACACACACACACACACACACATTCAATAAGCTTAGGTAGGTAATGAAGTCCTAAAGTGTGCAGATAGAGTGTGTGCCTGTGGGACTGTGCGTCTGTCTCTCTGTGTCTTTGCTCGTGTTTTGTTTTGTTGCAGAAAAGGGAATATTTGATTAAGAGACAGACTTTAATAATACATAGAGAATTCTCTTTTGCTTATATAACACATCTCATGTTCACACACTCACATATACTTTTGTGAGTCACCTGAGCCTTATTAAATATGTAAATAATTATTTGCACATATTTATAATGTTTGCTGATTTAAAAAAATAGTATAATTAATGGGAAAGCTTGTTAAGTGAATCTCATGAAGAAATGTGCAGCTGTTATTGCTGCCTATTTTTAGGAACATTTCGTTTTTGTGCATTGTGATATTTTCATGAAAATGACTTTAATGCAAAACAATCTTATTCTTTCAGCTTTGATAGTTCAGATTTTTATAGAAATGTTATGCTATTTAATTTACTAATGTGCAAAATACACTTTCTTAATTAGTTTTTTCCCCCTTTTTTCAAGTACAGTGTCTTAAATATAATTTATTATAGTACAGTGTCCTTTAGTATATTTAAGATAAATTTACTTTGAGCAAAGCGATATAAGATAATATAGATAATATTTTATAATAAGATACTATATATATATATATATATATATAATATTTATGCTAAAGAGCAACTCTGAGATTCTACAATATATCTTTTGTGTTTCATGGAAGAAAGAAAATCACACAGCTTTGAAATAACATCATTTTTGCATGAACTGTCTTGAAGCCCAAACTAATTCAAATTCTAAGTCAAATTATACATTATTCTTAGAAATTCTTAGAAATAATTGCTCTTACCAGGTTTCACCAGGCTCCCACAGGAATCACACTTAGGAATATCTTCAGAGAAAATTTTATCTGCGAGTCAAACACATGAAATGCGAATAGTTTACTATATTCCCACATCTCATTTAAAACTGCAGACAGAAACCACAGAGAAATTTCAGCGCTCAATACTGTACTTTTCATCCAGTCCATGGAGTACTCCTTACGACAGAGGAAGCTCACACAGTGAGAGGTGTGAAATGTACCATGAGCTTCAATCAGGTCCTCTCCTTCCAGACCTGCAACTCTCTCTAAAGTATCGATGTTCTTAAAAAATAACAATAATAATTGTATAATATGAAATAATTATGTATACATACTAGCATAATAACACAAACACTCTTTTACCTGAGAGTAAGAGCGAGTCAGTAGACCTTTGTCCTTCAGCATCCTCATGAAATAGTGACATACTGTGGGCTAAAGAAACCAAAGAGCATGCAAGAGTCAAACACAGCAATACATGTGTCATTATTTGTATGCGGTGCCTTATCGACCTCATGACATGACAAAGAAGAGCATGTAATATAATGGAATTTGGCATAACGAGGTGGAAGGTTTGCCAGCATTTCATTAAATATGCATTATACGTAATTATGCTTATCTTTTGTTAGTTATGTATATTATATGCTATGAATTACAGATGTTTGTTTATTTATTTATTAAAAAAGCAGACTTATTCCACACTGCTGTCAAGGCCAAATCAGCTGTTGATTTCTGATGTTGCAATATTGTTTATATTGATAATTTTTTTTAATTTGCAGAAATTAGACATTTCAAGTCAAAAGGATATGGAAAAGGCTCAGGTTTGATTTCATTCATAACAGAATTTCATTGGTGACCCATGTATGTCAGAAAAGATTCATAAATTACCTTAAACTGTCCTGGGTAGAGCTCTCTGGCAAGAGCAAAAAAGGGCTCCGGATGTTTCTGGAAAGAGACAATGAAAAATGTGGCTTGTGTCCTCTTAGATAACAAATAATGAGGCTGCAGCTTTTCTTCAGAATCACAAACAGACCTTGAAATAGTCGATCTGAAAGATGGCCTCTGGGCAAGGCAGGTTGTACTTCTGCAAATTGGCATATAGACCAGTGCCAGGAGAGCGGAAATCTGGGATTCCAGCAGCTTAATGTGAAAAAGACTACAGGTTAATTAAACCATCCTTAACCAGGATACTATATAAGGGGCAGTTGTGGCCTAATGGTTAGAGAGTCGGACTTGTAACCCGGAGGTCGCAGGTTCGAGTCTCAGTACCAGCAGGGATTGTCGTGGGGGGGAGTGAATGTACAGCGCTCTTCCACCTTCAATACCACGACTGAGGTGAGACCCTTGAGCAAGACGCCGAACTCCCAACTGCTCACAGCAAAAATGGCCAGAAATTTTATGTGTTATGTTATACTTAAAAGATTATATTATACTTAAAGAGGCTTTGCTTATAAGAGGTCTTTAAATATAAAAGAAAAAAATAAATAAGATATAATCTATTAAAAAAAAAAAATTGATGTGCTTAATTTAAGAAAACTGCTTTTTATAAGCGATTTACTTACATGTAGATATTCCAGCTCCAACCATACAGATAATGTTCTTGCCTGTTAAGACAGACAAACACATGTAATTTACTGAACAGCATCTCACTAGCTGACTCGAAAATAACCTGCTCAAACAAAGGTGCAATATATTCACCACAGTGTTTACACAGGAAGCCAACCTACAAACAGCTTTTTTGCAGCTGACTGTACATACTGAATTGAACATAGTAAAGTATTCTAACATTGAAAAAATGACAAACTTCACTTTTAAAGACTGGACTCATCTGAGAAGTTAACTAACATTTGCCACTCAGGATGTAGCGGGCGACCCCATCCAGGGTCAGCTCATCCAAGACTTTCTCTCCAGGACTCAGGCCAAGAGTTCGTGAGAAGAGACTGCGTAAGAAATCCACTGAGAAAGAAGCATATCTAACATTAGCTAAGATCACATCATTTCTTTAAATGTACTTTAAGGACAGATTCTTTGACATACTCTCAGTGTCTCCCGAAGCCTCGCCCTCGTCACTGCTGTCGTCAGACTGACCCTGCAGAAAAGCGTATCAAAATAATACAGATTTTATTATTATTATTATTTTATATAAAGATATAGATATGAACTGTTGGCTTACTGTGCTGAACATGGTGGATGTTTACTACATTTACATATCTTGCATTTATATCTCATGTTCACATATTCATTTCCTATGTACAGTATACATGTGTTTTACAGAAAAACATAATAAAATAATAATAGAAAATACTGTTTGGGGGGGTCAGCTGACATTTGGCCTTTTTTAAATTATTGGCAAAGGTTGAAGCAATTTTATTAAATAATTTATTATGCAGTTTTATTATTCTGTTGTTATTTGAGCTGAAAATGGTTGTACATAAAATATAATAATAATAATAATAATAATGTACTATTACTGTAAAGTCAAATGGTAATGCCATGGTATTTTGATAAATACATAAAGAATTTAAAAGAATACCATGCCACTTCCAAGGTCCAAAAAAACAAACAAACATGGTATTAGCTTTGTACAAGCCCAAAAATACATATTACTGTGGTACATGTCCATGGTAAGTCTAATGAACGTGTTGTTTGACGTGTCATGTGTGTCTGATGTTATGCACACATCTTACGTTTAATGTTTATTTCTATATACGTAAGTTTATCTCTGTTATAAAATTAACTCAGTTGTATTTTTATTTACCCCGAGATCTGGTGTGTCAGCCTCCTCTTCTGCCCTTTTAGAAACCTCTGCAGGACACAATAACACATATCACACTGATGTGAATGTCATAATATCAGTCAAACAGTGGAAAAACTTCCAATACACAATTAGCTTTCTCTTTTGCTAACGGCTAACTGTGTCTGATAACACCCATATAAACAAAGGCACATCCATAATATTACCTTCAGACATTTATCCGCTTTCAAATAGTACTAAAAATTCTAAAACCCATGAAGTTAAGAGATGACAGCGCTGTTTTATTAAAGGGACAATTGCTTGTGTGCGTCGCTAATATTTCATTGGGTGGCTTATGTTGATGATAGGTGGTAAACGTTCGTATTGGACATGCAGTTCGTTCCTCGCGGGGGCGCAAGAGGCTTCGAAGCCTTCTTCTTCCAATTCGACCAAAGTTTTCCTTTAAATTTCTTCCATTTTCCCAGCAATCCTGCAGTACTGCTTTTGTGGGATGAGAGTCAGGCTCCGAATCCTCCGTTGAGTCGCATTCAAATCCCCGGCCGATTTTTATCTTGCAGAAGAAACCTATACTCTTATTCGTTTAAATTTATCCATGTAAAGAATAGGTACCTGACATACAAATGAAATTCTGCCCTTGCAATGTTTATAAAATTAAAAAAAGAAAAGAAAAAAAAAAGACTACAAACGATTACAAACGACTGTGATTGGTCGTTCCTTACAGCGATGAGAAAAGTAACAAGTATGGCATGACAATGCCGTGCTGCTTAAGTGATAAGTCTCAAATAACTTACCCCTGAATGACACGTTTAAAATTTGATAGCAATTTTACTATTTGTAAAAAAAAAAAAAAAAAAACACCAACACAGGAAGAATATTTATCTTACCTGACCAATTAGAGACAACTTCCGGGCCTCTAATGCCTGCCCATTTCGGATTTTCCTGAAAATTGCCTTTATACACAATTCTATATTATTTCTACGTAATATTTCTCTGCACTTTGTAGATCAAACCTTTGGGTGGAAACACTGTTATATTTGCACAAAACATGTCTTTCAAGGCAATGTTAATGCGACAGTGTCAGAAAAATTAACATCAGATTTTAAGACAAATTTTTCTTTTCTGATTGAAAGTAAATTGTTTACATATTTGCATAAAGGAAAAACATTACCGTAAGTCAGATTTCTTCATCCACCTTCCATCTTTCTAACACTTAGATCTAATATCATCACACCTCCATAAAAAAGATTACAGGATTTACTCTGACTAATCAGATTTGACACCCGTCACCGTTTTTTTTTAATTTATTTTTTTACGGTAGCTTAGTATAGTTTATATTTAATAAATCATGTTTAAGTACAAGTTCTCAACTTGCATATTAAACATGAATATTTATTGTGTCGGTCTCAAAACAATGATCAAATACAATGTATTTTACATAGTAAAAACAGAAACATAGGCATGAGCACAGCACTTTATTGAAATAACATGTTTGGGCATTATAATGAACAATAATATAGAAGCTCCACTGTCAGCAGCAACATTGTTTATAGATGTCTAAGTCCAGTGTGTGTGGAAGCTTCATGATGGTCCTCTGTTTGCTCTTGGCTGTCTGGCTGGATCAGGCCCTGCTCGTATTCAGCTCCAGTGACCCGGCAGTGTGGCAGTATTTCCTCCAGCAGTATCCATACCAGGCCTGGATTCTGCAGCTGTGGAAGTCCGGAAATGTCCAACCGCTTTAGCTTTCTGAGCGTTTAAGGTGGAGGGGGGACAAAAAATAACACAGAATATGAGTTTTTCAAAAACATACAATGTATGTTTAATTTTTGCCCTGAAAGAAAAAAAACTAAAACTGAAGACTGTTTAAATGACCTGAGGTTCTGTAATGCAGTGAGGCCTCCCACAGTGATTCGAGAGCAGTGGGACAGGTCTAACTCCAGCAGACTTTCTCCAAAGACATGAAGACGTGCAAGGAACCAGTCATCTACTTCAGGACATCCTGGCAGAGAGAGAGTCTGAAGTTTATTCTGATTCACTGAGAAGAGACATTTGGTTTGTGTGAGCCAGGGAACAAACTGCACCTCAGCAACAGTTTCAGTGGCAGCTGTGAGATCACTTATTTATCATATGTTTTGTTTCCTGTTAGATTTAGGGAATAGACCAATTTGGAGTAGACTTGCAGCTGCGCGCGCATTGTGGTGGCAGAAAAACACTGGGAACAAGTGGAAGGAAACGGGTAAAATCCATGGAATAAGAGAAAAAATGTATTGTTGTGCTTTTGGATGTCAGAATCAGAATGCAAATCATTTTTATAGAATAATGTCATCAAAGACGCCATTTGAAGCTAAACGCAGATCTTTAAACGGACAAACTATGGATGAAACCTGCTACGATTACCCTACTTTTAAAGCATAAATTTGATTTAAAAAATAGGTCTATATAATATTCACATAGGGGACATATTGTATTAGCCCTACAGTTAAAGCATGAAATACTATTTAAACCTACACTGTAAAAAAAATTCTGTAGTTTTTACAAAATAATTTTGGCAGCTGTGGTTGCCAGAATAATTTTGTAAAAAATACAGAAAAACTGTAAACACATTTACAGCCATAAACTGTAAATTTTACAGTATAAAACTGTAATTTACAAACAAGAAAATTTTAATGTAAACCAGTAAATTCAACAATGCACACTGCTATTAAAATCTGTTTTGTACCTTTAACATACTGACAACCACCATAATAATGCAGGTGGTAAAAGAGAAAGCCACATGAAGAATCAAAGCTCATCACAAGTAGCTTCGCCACAAGCAGAAGTATATACTAATATATAGAAGGTGCACAGAGTCATTCATGCAAACACAAAACACCATCATGGTAACACACATGATACTTAAATAATGCATTAAACTTCCATTAAACAACAGAAGATGTAACATAAAGCCCAAATATACATAACTAATAACAAAAACTATAAAAAAAACATGATTATTTAAACAAAACACTTTCAAATGTGGAGTGTCATGCAGGGAATTCTGGGAATATCAGTTTACAGTTTTTGACTGTAAATTATACATTGATTTGTTATTTTTACTTCTAAAAACTGTAAAATTAACAGCACTTTACTGTAAAATTACATGAAATGTCTGGTTAGATATTTTACAGTTTTTCCCTGTATATAGTACGGGAACTTACTGTTAACCTATTAACAGTTTTTTTCCGTAGCGTTTTTACAAAATTTTACAGTTAAAATTACACTTATTTTTTACAGTGAAGCACAAAACGTACATTTTTGTAAGTTTTTATTAATGCTAAAACGTACAATTTAGACGTATTTCAACGTTTAAAACGTACAAATCACTACGTATTTTTAGCAAA